CCTCATTACAATTAAAATGACACATGGTGCGGTCGGCGCGCCGCACAACTTCCTATGGGCGATTTTCGAATCATGTTGGAATATTTATAGAATAATTTGTTTTAGGTGGGACAGCGTACATTATAAGTAATAATCATTTTGTATTTCAGTAAAAGTGTATATTGACACTAGGTAACGAAAGAATTAGTGTTTGGCAATAATAAAGTAAATACAGGGGAGTCATAACCCGCGCTCGGTATGGGCTGCATTTATTTGCTAGAAACAAATAATAAACAATGTTAAAATCGAGAAGTAGAGATTATGGAGCAGCCAACATCTACACCATATGCCATTATCTGCGTAGCGCCGGCACCGGCACAACGTTCTAATCGTAACACACGTCCACCAAATACTCTAGTGACTGCTCTAGCGGCAGACGTGAGGCGGATGCACTAGCCACAGCACGACGGCTTCATGTTATGTAAGTCCAGAACTATCTTTGTGTCATTTAGTGAAGTATCTAACCAACAATGAATAGTTGCAGTGCAAATTGCACATCAACTTGAGTAAAGCACATGTGGGCAAAAATAGTTCTGGATGTAGTAGGTGTACGTGCGGTGTGTCAACATGGCAACATGGTGATGACGACTGGGCGCGAGTGACACTACGACACTCACAGTTCTCCACCTTAAAATCAAGGCAGTTAACACGGGCTGAAACAAATTTGCCGTTATCTTTTGTTTGCACACCCTACGCTGCACTCGGTTGCTTTGCTACACAAGACTCGTCGCAAGTTAGAATGCTATTCCCTGCTCACAAGTATACACAAACCGGTGAGGCCAAACCTGGGAGTGGTGGGCAGTTAGATTAATAGTAATTCATCAAAGCAAATTTTCAAATAAACAGTTTATCAAACATCATTAATTGCAAGGGAGATAGTTATAGACAGAAGTAATGAAACAAAACTAAACAATGTTTATTTCATACTTACAGTTTGAACATAGTTCCATAGGAATTGAATTTTCATTCCCCTGAAATTAATATTTTGTTTTCATATAGTTTAATTGGATGATTTGGTTTAGTTAAATTAGGAAAACATGCTAACTTATATTTTATTCCCACACCTCAATTGTGTGTCAAAGTGAACAATTTCTTATTGGAAACTTAACTTTTCATGACCAAGATTATAGATTATCTTATACATATTCTGGTCGGAGTAATTAATCTAATTAATTGAGTATTAATAAAAATAGCAATTTTCCATCAATCCTATGATAACCATGAGTAGCAAACCATAGTTACATTTATAGGTGGTTGTTCCTTAAAAATTCCAGTATTCACAAATTTGTTTGGATTTACATCTAGTCTTAAGTATACATCATAAATTAGAAGTTCAAATATGTTTAAAGAAATGGCTAACAATCGAATACACCCAAGAAGCACCATCATTAAATTCTAATTTTTTCATACATCATTAACGTCCCGTTTAAAAAAAATACTCACCATTTTTATTAATTTAATGAAGCAACAGAGCAAAAGAGAATTAAGTAATTTATGTTGTTTATTTAAATTATAATGCAAATATTATAATTATTGACTACTCCAATTCGCAAAACCGCACCAAAGATTAAAAATGTAACGAAATGTACCTATGACCAAAGAGTAAGATGATAGTTGACACAGAATGTCTAAAGCACAGGCACTTTTTGATACTTTGTTAGGCTGTTGCTTGGAGATGATTACCAAATGATTGCTATTGCTTCGTTCCGACTTAAAAGCGCCTTTGATGTTGTTAATTTTTAACAGTCAATCCTATTTTGAATCAATTTTCGAACCCTAACCACCAGGTCCAACCAGAATGGTCAGTGCTAAACTCAAATATGCACAAAATATGACGCCTTACAACCAATCTGTTTATAGAGATTATGATTAGTGAGACCCTGACGATTAAATTCAAGTCTGAATGTAACGTATTTAAGTTAATTTCTGTATTTGTAATTCATCTTTAAATATTTGAATCCTTAGCGTTACTAAAAATAAAGTATCGTCGTGAATTATGTCATGAGGAAACATTGTCTCTTAACTTATGTCAATGCCAATGTCACAATCAGCTGTCACTTTGGTCAACTTCCCTTCCCTCCCTCCCTCAAGATCTTTCTCTTTCCGACAAAGTCAACCATGGCGGCCGGGGTGGGTTTAAATTTGGCTTAATTTATCTCGTTAATCAAAGGGTTTTTTGAATTGCAATAAATAGTGAAGTTATTGTTACGTTGCCTATTAATGTTACATAGCCTTATTTTTTGTAGGTACTTTATACTTATCCGACAAACTTCCGTGCTTATAAGGCGTTGATCGCCGCACAGTACTCCGGGGTCGATCTTAAAGTTGCACCAGGTTTCGTGTTTGGCGAGACAAATAAATCTGATGAGTTCCTGAAAAAATTCCCAGCGGGCAAAGTGAGTGCTTAAAAAGTTGAGTGTAAGTTGTGAGTTCGCGTCAAGATGTGTTCGCCGGTGACGTGTAATATTTGCCTACTATTTTAGGTACCGGCTTATGAAAGTGCTGATGGAAAAGTTGTTCTCACAGAGAGCAATGCCATAGCTTATTATGGTAAGTCTTCATCATCTATTATTGACATTACTTGTAAATTTATGTTATTTATATTTTCATGTTAACTTTTGTTATAAAATCTAATTTATGTTTTAATTACGAAATAATAGCTCAGTTTAAGAACATGAAACATATTAATGTAATGAAACTTTTGTAATAGCAAATGTTCTATTAAGAAAAATAATTGTCACTGTTTTGGGTCAATATGTTTGTAATTACTTGATTAATTTAATCTATCTTCAAAGAGTTTTATTGTATGTATGTTTACGGCCAATCAATTGACATCTTTTCGATTTAATATTGTTGAAGTTGGGCCAAATGTTAAATAGTAAAATAATGAAAGTTGGACTAAATTATTTAGCCAGTCTGGCTAAATTATGGTTACCTTTCTCATTGATACTGATTTGTTTGCACTAAATTGAGTCATTCCATTAGTGGCCAATGGTAGTCTGCGAGGTGAGGATGCAGAGACACAGGCTCGCATCTGGCAGTGGGCATCGTGGGCCGACAGCGAACTGCTGCCTGCCTCCTGCGCCTGGGTCTTCCCCTACCTCGGCATTATGCAGTTCAACAAACAGGTTTGTTCATATTAAAAACTGATTATACTGAAAAAAATTAATTGTGAAAATGGGTTAAACATCATTAAGCTATATTGAATTGTTTATACCACATATCTAGCAGAATAGAAAAATCATAAAATCATCTGGATACATCCCCTACCACAATGTTTATTTCATTATTTTATTGAGTAGCAAGAATGTGTACTGTGTTGCAGAATGTGGAGCG